ATATAAATATGTCTGTCATTTGATTTATGCATACTCTAGCTTTAGTTTCGTCTATGTGTAAAAAAGTGAAGGAAAATATTCGAAATGCAAAGTTTTTAAAATTTTCAATTCAAGTACAAGAAATATAATTTCGAGACACAATTAATTCCGTTAATGTTATTGTAATTATTTGTATGCCAGCAAAACCCCCTCCAGAGCCCCATAGATCCAACGTCAGCAGCAACAACAAAAATCGCATGCTTTATATGTACATATATAAATACACTTACACACACTCACACACACAGCTCGAACAAAAACTGCATGTGACTGGTGGGCGGACGGGCGGCTGGGGCGTGGCAAGCTTGAAACGTTTACGTGTAAAGAGAATTATTTATACATTTAATGAAATAAATAATAATAAAATAAACAAAATTTATTTAGAAAATAATTAACATAAAACTTCTTTTATTGAATTTGGCGCAAACGCAAAAAAAAAAAAAACTGTCGATGAAGCAAGTGAAAGAATGTTGCGAACGGGTGTAGACGACGGCACAATGCGCGCTCAAAAGTTGAGTGCAAATATGGGGTACTATAGTAATATATTATGAGCACAATTTAGGCAATATACAAAAATATAATTTAATAAAATCTTAAAAATTTAAATTTATAGAAAAACCTAGTCAAGTCATGAACGATTTTGGCTTTCGGATTAACCAAGCTTCACTTGATGATACTGATTGGATGTCAAGAAATTCTTCTATAGTAAAGCAACATATCTTTCCATATTCTAGTAATTCTTGTATATATTTTGCTATTTTTCGATTATTCCGATTTCAGATCCAGTTACAAATTAACCAGAATATTTGCACATATACGTATGTAATAATATGTGTATATATAAATTCATTTAGATTCCACTACTAATTCATTTTAGGCAAGTAAACCCAGACATTTCGTATATTAATATATACAAATAAAGAACTTTTTCCTGTATGTATATATACAGAAGTACTTCTTATATACAAATATAGAACTACTTAGCTTTGAAGCATATATACAAAGCTTAAGTTTCATGCAGGCACAACTATAAACATATATTTAGAATTTGACATGATATATTTTCAATTAAATATACCGACCAATATTTATACAATTTCAAGTGATATCTGAGCTCCGAGTATATATCTAAAGTTTCAACTATGTTTACAAACCTATATATCTCAAGTCTCAAGTTATATCTAAGAATTTTGTCAACCCATAAGTCCAAAATATGTATACCCCTTTTCGCTCTACCCGCCGAGTGACTATCGAAATTATTGATCGATCGCATGTGCCGGTGCAAATTCCACTTTCGCCTCTCTTTCGCCTACATCGCCCTGACAATGACCATCATAAATACACATTGTATAGATTACGAGTACAGTAAACATTGGCTACGGTAACAGCTGTTCGTTTAATTTATGCCGCACGAAATATACTTATGACAATGCGCCTTTGATATTGCCAAAATCGACATCGATTTCTTTTATGAAGGCTATAAAAAGTTCGAGAAAAGTCCAAAGAAAACTTAAAAGCAAAAAACTAAAGCAAAAAACGCTATGGTTTAGTTAGACGAGGTAGGATTGTATTTCTAGACTAGTTAGTCGCAGCTCTGCACTCTGATATTGATAATTGCAGTCAAATCTGAGTGGTTTATTTATAATATGATAAAATATATATTATATACACATATATAGATTTATGAAGAAATTAAGCACTGATAAAAGTACAGTATAAGTATGCCTTTCAAAGGTCTTTCAAGCACGCGCATGAATTGAAAATGCTAGAAAATCTAGCCACATGCGAAAATTATATATATTCATTCACCTTTATGTGAACTGTTTTTAGCAAGATTTAATCTAATGCTCTAAACACCTTAGAGTTCTGTACTGTAACTAAGGAAAGCAATTTACAATTTTAATGGGTGTCAAAGTTCACTTTTTAAAGTCAAGAAAGTCCCCCCTAAATTCCAGAATGACTTAACAAAGTAGCTATCAAACTCGTATTTAAAGACATAGATATGTACACATATACATATATCCAATAGCAAAAATGATTAAAAATCTATTGAGATCATATAATCAGATATAAAGAAAGCTATCTTTACACCTTTGGTATGCCAATTACCATAAATAGTAAATTGCACTTTCAATATCTATATAAGTATATATGTTGGCCTTCGTCCTCTTATATAAGTGCTGTTATATGCATATATGCATTCGTCTAGTACTTTGTCTGTGTTGACTTAGCGTTACGGTGTCACAAGTTGCATGTCTAAGCAATTATCTAAATGAGCTAAAAGTTAAAAGTTTGCAAGAAATGAGCTACGTAATTGTTAACAGCTGACTGCATCATTATCTGTATAATATGGATAATAATGGGATAGCCCTTCAGACATTTTTTAATCGAACAATATAATCTTACGACATTTCCAATTAGTCCTGTGGGAATTGGAATTTAGTAATTACTATTTGTAGTACATGAATGTACTATCGGTTATATTCAAGAGAACTGTTGTATTCGTATTAGTATTGGTAATGTTCTTTCTACAATTAACAATTGAAATATAAGGTATATAGGTGGCAAGTATATAGTAGTTCCTAATGGTAGTTCAAGAATGAAAATTGAGATTTACGACCATCCCTAATGTGAAAACCATGGAGTTTAGTTACACTAAAAAATACTTATGTCCTATAATCCAATTACACGCCATGGGAGACCAAGGCAATATTTAGAGACACAGAGTTGACCGTTTGTCAGAAGAATATTCCTTTCGGATAAGAATTTAAAATAAAAGCCGTCACTCTGCGGACTGGCCATTCATTTATAATAGTAAAAATAGTAGTAACAGTAGTAGTAGGTATAGTAACATTAGTAATAGTACTAAAATTACTAGTAGTGTAATAGTCGTAGTTGTAGTAGTATAGGTAGCCCCTGTAGTACAGGTAGTAGTAGTAAGTCTGAGTATAAGTAGTAGTTGCTATAGTATAAGAAGTAGTTGTATATTCGGGTATAAATAGTGCAGTAATATAAATAGTAGTAGCTATTGTATAAATATTAGTGCAAGTATAAGTATGGCACTAATAATATAAAAAGTACTATTTCTTAGAAAAATAGCAGCAGTAGCTGCTAAAAGTATTATCGGTATTTCAAATCAGAATTGGCAACAAACATTGCATCAACAATGGAATTATACTAAAAATTCGATATTGCTATTATAATTAGTATAAGCAGGTAGCTTATCTCCGACTGGTATTTATAAACAATAACAAAGTATTATATAATGAAATTTCACTGTATCCGATTAGATAACGTACACAAGAAAAAGTCTTATTCAGAACGAAACAGAAAAATGATTGATAAACTAATGAAACTTCGAGTAATGTAAAGGATTCCTGATAATGAAACTGAATCATGCCATAAAAAGTACCTAGTAGAGAAACCGAAACCCCACAGCTGTAGGCATCGAAGAACACTTCCTAACCTAATAAACACGGGACACGCCCACGCGCCGGTGTATTGCCAGAAGGCCTATCAGCATTTCAATAAAAACTCGAGCGTTTTGCAATTGGCGATAAGAATTTTGACCGAAAGTCAGCCGATACTTGAGTATTATCTGGGCCAGGTAATGCCACACTTGACGAATTGATTTCTCGGCCATGGCAAACCATACCATATATACGTATTATAAATAAGAACAGCGATAGCTCGACTAGGAATCGCGACCAATTCACTAAAGCCCTGAACTTGTTTAAGTTTAATCAGAGGCGACATTTTAATATATTGTAGTGGAGGGAGGATTCAATGACGAAATCATCGACATCGTTGTGGACAATGTTTCAACATTGTTCTAACAGAGAGACTTCTAGACTTAAGATTCAGCGTATTGCCAACTGTTTTCGAACACATTCAATTAGCGCCCCGATACAAAATCAAATTATATTGAAAGGCTTCCGTATTGGAGGGAAAAGGCCAGCATAGAAATGAAACTGATTTTAGATTAGTTGATG